CCTTCAGCTTCTCTATGTCTGGGAACTTCTTTATTTCTACTTCATATTTAAAGGATAATTTTGCTGGATATATGATTTGTGGCTGGTAATTTCTCTCTTTTAGACATTTGAATATTTGGTTCCACTCTCTCTGGCTTGTAGAGTTTCTGTGAGAAGTCAGATGATATTCTGATGAGTTTTCCTTTGTAGGTCACTTCCTTCTTTACCCTGGCTGCTTTGAGAATTTTTTTTGTCATTAATTTTTGACAGTTTTAATACACTGTACCTTGGAGAGGGCCTCTTTGGATTGAGGTAACGAGGTTTCTGTTTGCTTCTTTCCATAGATTTTCCATAATTTTCATCCACTGTTTGTGTTAATAGACTATCCATTCCATGTTCCCTCTCTTCCTCTTCTGCAATGCCTATAAATCTAGTATTGCATTTTCTGATGGAATCAGCTAGGTCTCATAGAACTCTTTCATTTTTCTTTATGTTCAGGTCTCTCTCTTCTTCCCTCTGCATCATTTCTTCATTCCTATCTTAAATATCATTAACTCTTCCTTCCATCTGTTTTCTACACTCAGCAGTTCACCCTTTTAAAAATATATATATTTTATTGACATATTTTACAGAGATGTGGGGAGAGGGATAGAGAGTTAGAAACCGATGCGAGAGAAACATCAATCAGCTGCCTCCTGCACACCTCCTACTGGGGATGTGCCCACAACCAAGGTACATGCCCTTGACCAGAATTGAACCTGGGACCTTTCAGTCCGCAGGCCAATGCTCTATTGGATAGAGTCTATCCACTGAAATGATACAGAGGAAAGAAGAGAGAGACCTGAACAAACCAATTAGGGCCAGTAGTTCACTCTTAATCCCCTTAATTGCATGCTGCATTTCCAGAATTTCTGATTGGTTCTTTTTTAAAGTTTCCATCTCTTTGGTAAAGTACTTTTTTTGTTCATTGATTTTTTTTTCCCTGCGTGTACTGAATTGCCTGCCAGTATTTTCTCACATCTCATTGAGTATTTTCAGAACTGCAGTCTTGAAATCTCTGTCATTTATAGCACATATTTCCAAATGTTCCAGCTTGCTTTCTAGGTACAGTGGGGCCTTGACTTACGAGTGTCCCAACTAACGAGTTTTTTAAGATACCAGCTGTCTCTCGGCTGATTTTTTGCATTGAGTTGATAGAGTAATTTGAGTTAATGAGCTCCTTAACGAGCTCGGTCTCAGAATGAATTAAACTCGTAAGTCAAGGCCCCACTGTACTTTTCATTTTCTTTCTGAGCTTCCTTATTACTGTGGTTATTCATGGTATTTGCTGGCCTCCTTTATCTTGGCATGTATGTGTATATATATATATGTATGTATTATTGGCCCTTCTCTCGCAGCTTTCTCTGAAATGTTTTTCTACTATTTTCCAGTATACGGTGCTGAATAACAAGATATTTACCTCTGTGCTCTCCCAGGCTTAACCTCCAAGGCTTCCATAAAACAGTACAGCTGCACTGCTTGGGGGTGGGGTTTGTTTTGCCCTCACCATAATGGCAACCCTGGACCTCTGTGGGTAAATTCACCATCATAGACCACACCTGTCACCTCTACAAGGGTCTTTAGTAACAGATCAACCCATACAAAGCGAGTTTTCCAGACATGCTTGGGGGCTGTGGTGAATCATTTGTTCTGATTTTCAGGTTGGTTTGATGACTAAGTTAATGAAACACCTGAAGTTGATTACAGTTTAAGAGATATGTAGGAATTTCACATTTTGGACAGAATCACCTCTCAAGAATGTCCTAATTATATCTTCAGCTGTCGACAAAGAAAAAAACGAATCACATTTTATGTTTCCCATACACCCCACCAGCAACATATAATACCTGGTATATTCCAGACATTTCTGGTGTGAGTTCATTAGAGCACAAAGTGTCAACAGTGGAATCAGATAAAAGCTGCACAGGTTGATGTTGTTCCATTACAGCACTAAAGTAAGAGAGCAACTGTCAAGGCTCTCTCCGCTCTCCACAGCACCATCAGCTTCCCTTGTGTATATGGCTTGAGTTTGCTTTCATCCTGGTTTGTTATGTCCTAATTTTTTTAAGAAATATTTTTTTTACTTAATTTTATTGAATTAAAATTTGAAAATTAAAAATGATTTATGCCAATTGTTCTTAGTTTTTGTTTGTTTATGTTAATCTTCACTCAAAGATATTTTATCCATTGATTTTTAGAGAGAGTGGAAGGGAGTGGGGAGAGAGAAACAGATGTGAGAGAAACACATTTATATGAGAGAGACAGATTTATTGTCTCTGGCATGTACCCCAAACAGGGCTGAGGATCAAACCTGCAACCAAGGTATGTGCCCTTGACTGGGAATCAAACCTGCAACCCTTTAAGTTTGGGGGCCAACACAAAGTGCTGAGCCATACCCTCCAGGGGGGCTCTTAGTTTTTTGATTAACAAACCCAAGGCATATGAGACTTTTGTTCTAATTCCTTAAAAACTTATGTATGCACAGTTTGTTTACATCATTTCAGGGATTTCACAGATGACTGAAGTCTATACTAAAGGACCTTGAATTTTAAGTTCAGAGCTAAGGCCTAGAAGAGAACATAGACATATGAAACAGTTGATTTTCACCAGAGTATTCCTATCTAATCTTTGTTAGTATACATAATTTTTGTATAGTTTTAACATAGAAACAATTAGGATTTTGTTCTGTACTTAACCTTTATCTTATTGTTTGAAACTACCAAAACTACCACAAATTCTTCATAAATTTTATTTTACTAAATTCCTAAATATCTATATATATAAAAGCCTAAGTGACCAAACGACCGGTAGACTGGTCAACCAGTTGTTATGATGCAAACTAACCAACAGGGGGCAGATACTCAACACAGGAGCTGCCTCCTAGTGGTCAGTGTGCTCCCACAACCAACCTCCTGCAGCCTGCCAACCTCCCTTGGTCCTCCAGCCCTCTCCCCCCGATAGGTCCTGATCGCCCGCCAGGCTAAGGGACCCCACCTGTGCACAAATTCATGCACAGGTCCTCTACTATTTTAATAACTTGCTATATCATAATATATTTACACTTTTTCTACTATTGAATATTTAAGTTTCAGTCAGCATTTCAATGTTAGAGCTAAAATTACAGGAAATATATTTGTGCCTATAGGCAAGTTCTTATTTTAAGAAGTGTTAGAGAATTGGCCCTTTCTAGTCTCATTACTTTGTTTCCTTCACCTATATCTCTACTCCTTTTTTATGCCATTCTTGCTTTTCTTTACTTGATCTATCTCCTATAATATATAAGGTTAAAGGATGCTCTTGATGACAGTTGAAGGAGGGATATCTTGAAAAAGCAATTTCTCAATAATTATTTTGTTGCCGAAACCTGTTTGGCTCAGTGGATAGAGCGTCGGCCTGCAGACTGAAAGGTCCCAGGTTCGATTCCGGTCAAGGGCATGTACCTGGGTTGCGGGCACATCCCCAATGGGGAGTGTGCAGGAGGCAGCTGGTCGATGTTTCTCTCTCATCGATGTTTCTAACTCTCTATCTCTCTTCTTTCCTCCCTGTAAAAACTCAATAAAATATATTTTTTAAAAAAATAATAATTATTTTGTTATGTGGTAAATTGACATATTTTTAGCTTAATCTGGGTCTTGATTCTAGTCTTATCTAATTCATATTTTCTTGCTTTGATCTTTCTCATAAGTCTGTCATTACTGGATAGTGAAAACCTTTTTTACACTACTATTATTAAATAGTTTATAAAGAATTAATTATAAATAAAAACTTATTTCCAGGTAGCTTTCATTTAGAGCTATTATGTCAAAGTCTGTATTTGATTATTTTTAAATCATGTAACTGAAATTATGAACTATATAACCAAGGTTGTGAAACCAGCTGTTGTTAAAAAAAAAAAAAAAGCAGCCCCTGTCCTTTTCTTGAGTAATTCATTCAATCCAAAAGTAGTTTGTCAGATTTTTTTAAAAAAATTAATGATATTTGTTTTCCAGAAATGTTTTATCTCTTTTAAACAAAAATAATGTAATTGCTTAATTTTGCATTGAATACTTTATTCTCTTGCCCCAATTTTTATTGGTCACAGAGTTGTAAATTATGATAACATCAACAAAAAGGACTACTATACAATTAGTGACAAAGCAGTGACACGCGTTCATAATGACGAGGACATTGAATATATCGAAATTAATAGATGGATACAGGAATACCTATATCACAGAGAACTCATTAAGATTCCCATATTTTCACTTTTCCGGAAATGGAAAGCTTTTCATGTATGGAAGAAGAATGTGCACTCCAAGAAGATCAATGGATGTCGAGAATCTCTACAAGAGAACTTGTTCATTGTTAATTATGTATGTATTTGTTAATCATATTTTAAAAGAATTACAGAAAAATCAGTGTATCTATTACAGGTGTTGATATAGACTGTCCCTGCACTAGACCAGTTCATCTAATATTCTATTTAATGTTAAATGATGACAATTTTCATCTTGTCACATTGAAGAGTCTGGCAGTCTAGTGGTGTTTCTACATTTGACTAGAGTTGTAAGCAAAAGTTGTATTGTTAATCAGGAAATTTGTGTATCCTTTTGGACAGAGTACTAAGTGGCTGGGAACCCCTATTACCTTCTCTCATCTTTGAGGTACTCTTGACTTTATGGTCCAAAATGATTTGGAGGCTTGTTTTCATGGACCAGTACCTCCCAATGTATCATATGTTTTCTTCTACCATGGATTCAGACAGGAGGGAAATTTTTAATATTTACTTTGGAGGATAGGGTAGGTAATCATGAAAAAAAGTTAGCCTGAAAGATTGTTATCAAGATGTCAGCGATAGGGGCAGGGGCGGGCTGGAGGGGGTTAATGGGGGGAAAGGGAGACATATGTAATACTTTTAACAATAAAGAAGCACTTTAAAAAAGATGTCAGTGATACAGTAAAGAAACATTGAAGTGATATAACACAGATATTACTGCAAAATAAGTGCATATGATGTATCATCGCAGGTCATCCATTCCATCAAGCATTGTGAATTGTGGAAAATATTCTGACACTTCTTGATAGCAATGACACCCCCTAGATCTCTAATTTCAGGAAGGGTCCATCAGTCATTGGAACCCATTTCACTACCTTTTTACCACCTTTCATTTTTTACCATGTCTTGGGCACTATTCATATATTTGTTACTAGGCAAATAATGTGAAGTATTTCTTCCTGCATTTGTCTCTAAAACTAACCTATTAATCCTTAAAGTTTGTTCTCTTATTTTATGTCATTCTCTCTGTCCACTATTCATACCAATAATGTTTTGGCCTAGATTATAGCTTCTTTTAAATGTAGCCCTAACAGGCTAGAAAGGTCTCATCCTTTAAAAATATATATATATTTTATTGATTTTTACAGAGAGGAAGGGTGAGGGATAGAGAGTTAGAAACATTGATGAAAGAGAAACATCAATCAGCTGCCTCCTGCACACCCCCAACTGGGGATGTGCCCGCAACCAAGGTACATGCCCTTGACTGGAATCGAACCTGGGACCCTTCAGTCCGCAGGCCATCGCTCTATCCACTGAGCCAAACCAGCTAGGGCAGGTCTCATTCTTTTAATCTTAGATTGACCTAAATTACAGACCCATTGTGTTGGCTTAGGTATATGTTAGATGTTATAATTACCCAAGACAGTTACCACTAGTCTTATATTTGCAATTAGTTCATTGGAGGGGGGTGGGGCTGATTCCCTCAAACTAGGTTGAAGGGAAATGTGGTCCTTCAGATTTTTATTTTTATAATTTTTTCAGCAACCAATGTTATTGTCACTTGTGCCTTCATTTTTTATAATGACGTTATTGAAATATAGTTCATGTACTATACAGTTTACCTGCTTTAGATACACAATTTAATGATTTTAGTATTTTCACAAAATTGATCAACTATGACCACAATAAATTTATAACCTTTCTATCACTACAAAAAGAAACCCCAGTACATATTATTGATTCCTCTCCATTTCTCCTTAACTCCCCTACTCCCCGAACCCCAGCTCTAGGCAGCCACTAAACTACTTTTGTCTCTATTGATTTGCCTACTCTGTACATTTCATAAAAATGGAACCATACACCATGTGGTTCTTTGTGACTGGCTTTTTTCAGTTAGGATAATGTTTTCAAGATTCATCTATGTTGTAGCATAGCATTTATTTCTATTGGCTAGTAATATTCCATTGTAAGGAAGCACATGTTTTATGTATCTATCCATCCAGAAAGTGCTTATACTTTCTGGCTATTATGAATCATGCTGCTATGAACATTTGTATACAAGTTTTTGTCTGGACATATTCCTAGGAGTGGAATGTTTAACCCTTTGAGGAACTACAAAACAGTTTTCCAAACTCACCGCACAATTTTAAATCCCCACCAACAGCATCTAAGAGCTTTGGTTTCTTCATATTATCATTATATTTGTCTTTTTCATTATAGTCATTCCTACTGGTGGAAAAGTGGTATCTCATTATGATTTTGACTTACATTTTCCTGACAGGTATTGCTAGTGAACATCTTTTCATGTGCCTGTGTGCCATTTGTTTATATTATTTGGAGAATTATTTATTCAGGTAGTTTGTCCATTTTTAAATTGGGTTACTTGTATGTTACTATTGAGTTATCAGAATTCTTTATATATTCTGAATACAAATTCCTAATCAGATGTATGATTTGAAGATTTTTTTTCTCCCATTTTGTGGGTTGCCATTCCACTTTCTTGATAATATCATTTAAGGCACAGATTGGATTTGAGTTTTGATGATATCCATTTTATCCATTTTTCATTTTGCTGCTTATGCTTTTGGTGTTATATCTAAAAAACTTGCCTAGTCCCTGGTTTAGATTTACCCCTAAGTTTCTTCTTCTAATTGTTGTATAAATTTAGCTCTTACACTTAGGTCTTTAATTCATCTTGTGTTAATTTTTGCTCATGGTGTAAGGTAGGGGCCCAGCTTCATTCCTTTGCATGTGTCTGTCCAGTTGTCCCAGCACTATTTGTTTACAAAGACTGTTCTCTCCCCCATTGAATTGTCTTGGCACCTTTGCCCAAAATCAACTGACAATAAATGTGAGGGGTTTTGAATTCTCAATTCTATTCTGTTTATTTATTCTTGTGCCAGTAACACACTCTATTGAATACTGCAGCTTTGTAGTAAATTTTGAAATTAGGAAGTGTGATTCTCCTAGGCCCCTTGAATTTCCACATGAATTTTAACATCAGCTTGTCAATTTCTACAAAGCAGCCAGTTGTGATTTTTTTTATAGGGATTGCTCTGAAGCTGTAGATGAATTTTGTAAGTATTGTCATTTTAACAATATTATCTTTTATGGTCCATGAACATATAATACCTTCCCATTTATTTAGATCTTCTTGAATTACTTTCAACAATGTTTTGCAGTTTTCTGAGTATATGTTTTTCATTTCTTTGTTAAATTATTCCTAAATATTTTACTTTTTGATACTATTATATTTAGAATTGTTTTCTTAATTTTCATTTTAGATTTTTCATATATATAGTGGATATATACAATATATAAATAGTATGTGCATATATATAGTTTGTGTAATTACTTTTAATTAGAATGTAGAAATATATTTTATTTTTATATATTAAGCCTGTTTCCTAAAAACTTGCAGAATTTAGATTGACCCTAACAATTTGGTTGGTGTGTGTGTGTGTGTGTGTGTGTGTGTGTGTGTGTGTTCCTTATTCAATGAATAAGAATATGTCATCAACAAATAAATAGTTTTATTCCTCCTTCCCAATATGGATGACTTTTATTTCATTTTCTTGCCTAAGTTCCCTGGCTAGAACATTCTGTTGAATAGAAGTGGCAAGAGCAGAAATACTTGTCTTGCTTCTGACCTTAGAGTAGTGGTTCTCAACCTTCCTAATGCCGCGACACTTTAATACAGTTCCTCATGTTGTGGTGACCCCCAATTTCATTGTTACAAATTGAACATAATTAAAGCATAGTGATTAATCACAAAAACAATATGTAATTATATATGTGTTTTCCGATGGTCTTGGGCGACCCCTGTGAAAGGGTCGTTCGACTCCCAAAGGGGTCGCGACCCACAGGTTGAGAACCGCGGCCTTAGAGGCAAAGCTTTCAGTCTTTCACCATTAAGTATGATGATAAAGCAGTTGTTTTCTATTTCTAGTTGTTGAATGTTCATATCATGAAGCCATTATGATGCTGTCAAATGCTTTGCATGCATCTATTGAGATTATCGTGTAATAGGCATGATTTATTATAATAATTGATCATCAGATATTAAACCAACCTTGCATTCCTGGTATAAATAATATTTAGTCATTATGCATAATGCTTTTTATATATTGATAGATTTGGTTTGCAAGTATTTTTTAATCCTCATTCGAAGATATGTTTTTATTGATTTTTAGAGGGAGGGAGGGAGGGAGGGAGGGAGGGAAGGAAGGAAGGAGGTGAGGGGGGAGAGGAAGAGAGAGGGAGAGAGAAACATTTCTGGGAGAGAGAAATATCCATTGGTTGCCTCCCATTCATGCCCCAATCAGGGACCAAACCCACATCCCAGGTATGTGCCCTGATAGGGAATCAAACCCAAAACCTTTTGGTGCATGGGACAACACTCCAAACAACTGAGCCACCTGGCCAGGGCTGATTTGCTAATATTTTGTTGAGGATATGTGTGTATTCACCAGTGAAGCCATCTGGGACTAAGCTTCCTTTTTGCAAGTACCTTCTAGTCTCTTACATTTCCAGTTTTCACTTTTCTCTAGACTTAGGTGTGTATTTAGTATTAATTTTTCATTATTGTTTAATGGTGCACATCATTTCAACCAGCTAGGTACTTGATGATTTTGCTAGTGTTTTAATAATGTGTTATTTTGTTGTAAGTGATACTTTCAGGTAGTTTCTGTTATTTTATTTTTATATTCACTCAAACATTCTTATCATTTATTTTAATTTGAATGTCCCTTTGTAATGAAAACCTTTTTAATTTTTAGTCAGACATTGCTTTGCAGACAAATCACTCTTAATTTCATAGATTTACATAATTATTTCTCCACTTATGAAGGGGTCCCTCTTGTCCCTTTTGCTGTAGCATTTTCAACACTGGGTCAGAAAGTGCATGAGAGTACTTGAGCCCAGAGTCTCTGGATGGACCAAGACTTAAAATTCTAGTGGGTTCTTTAAGTACCAAATTATATAGACCACCCAGATGTTCTGATGACTCAGGTTAGGGCAAATTAAAGGTTTGGTGCTATGATGAATATAAGACTAGCAAATCCCAAGAGTTCTTGCATTCCAACTAAAGACAAGGTGTCTCAGCATGACCCTGATTTTCATAAACTTTTTATAGCAAATGCAGCTCTTCTGCACATATCTCCCAAAGTCTAATGTTTCCCCACAGGCTTTCTAGCCCAGTCATAAGCCTCCAGATGAATAATACTGATTTCCCATCTCTGAAACACTGACATTCATTTCAGTGCAACTGGCAAAAACTCTATTTAAATGAACTTTGACAACAACAATAGCAAACAAAAGCTCATATAATAAGGAAGCTCAAGGGGGTGAATACCTTTATGCATGGCTGAATTCAGAAATTCAAATGATATCTTCTCATCTTTATTTTTTTCCTCGTTCCATCTTTCATTTCTGTATTTGTCTGTGTCTGTTTCATTCTCAGTTGGGCTCCTAGAATGAGCATCACCTCCAGCTCTAGGTGCAGTTGGCTCTTTTAATGAAAAGACAATATCTCTTGATGGGATGCTGGAAAGAGCACGGATTGGCTCAGCTTGGCCACACACCCAATCCTGAACCAATCACTGCACAGCTAGTAGTAGTCTGATAAGCCAGGCTTGGATATGTGCCCGGTCCTCATTCCTGTGATGAAGGAAGTGAGAGTCCACCTTATCAAAACCACATGGTAGTGAGTTTCCCAAAGGAAAGAGGGATTCTATCACCAGAATAATTATAGGTAGGTCAGGGGAAGTGTCCTGGGCAACAAAAATTAGAGTTACCTCAGTTTTTACATATTGAAACCCACCATCAAGATGACAAATTCTTCCTCCTCTACAATTCTGCTAATCATTTTAAATAATGCTTAATCCTTATCACCTTCATTGGGCACTATTGATATAACAGCTGAAGAATGAACCACCTAATCCAGATTCATCTGGAATTTATTACCAACGGAAACAACGAAGGGGTGAGAGGGGGGTGGGGACACTTCCAATCTCTCTTATATTCAAGGCAGCTTTTACAATTGTTCTTTATGCTGACAGCCAGCTATTTCGGTTAAGCTAACGTAGTTTCTTGTATATTCTTTTTCTTCCAAAAAATTCCCCATTGTCAAAACTCACTTTTTGGCAGGCCATCAATGTCAGCTCTGCTCTCCACCTGGGTCCTTGCTTTTTGTCCCTTATAATTTTGCTTTGAGCACTTCCTCTGGAGTGCCCTAGACTTCCTTGCTTTCACTGCCCCATTCTGATTACACTGTCGTCCCTACTCCTATACCAGTGATGGGGAACCTTTTGAGCTCGGCGTGTCAGCATTTTGAAAAGCCCTAACTTAACTCTGGTGCCATGTCACATATAGAAATTTTTTGATATTTGCAACCATAGTGAAACAAAGACTTATATTTTTGATATTTATTTTATATATTTAAATGCCACTTAACAAAGAAAAATCAACCAAAAAAATGAGTTCACGTGTCACTTCTGACACACGTGTCATAGGTTCACCATCACTGTCCTATACCAATTTCGTTTAATTAGAATGTTATTTCAATTCGTAGACTTAGACTCTAAACTTTTGCTTTTTTATTATGCCAATTCCCCCATCAGATGAGCTCTAAGGGCTCTATGACTTCCAAATGGTTTCCCACAAAGCTCTCTTCATTTAAGACTTTACTAATTATAACTCCCCTTATTGCCCTTAGAAGAGATAAAGCACTAAATGTTGGTCTGCATAACTGTTATTTGTCCTGTTTTGAAAGCTCCTACAAAGTATATAACACATAAACCCGTGTCCCATGCAAATACATTAATGTTAACTTTATTTCTATCATGTAATTGCTCCTCCTTTGATTAGATTAGGGGAAGTCAAAGGGGATGTCCTTAGAACATTCTTAGAATGTGTGCCTTTGAAGCCAACAGCCTAGAACTCTGATTTATGACGTTGGCATAGAGAACGAATAAGTTAAGATCATGTGGCTGAATTTCACAAATGCTTTCCTTCTCCCAGCTCACATTGCAAGACAGGTTTTTAACAGTGACTGAGCTTTCTTTGCAGCAACTTTTTACCCACTGGAAACTTAAAGTTAAATTTGTCCTTGTTCTCTGTCACAAACTCTTAGATCAGGTGACAGGCCCCTCTGTTATCATGGTGACCAGACGTTGTAAAGTCTTCAAGGTAATGCAAAGAATCTTTTAGTCGCCATTGGCCCAACCAGGTGAAATGTAAGACTTACGGTCCTTCCCTGGCCGTTGTGGCTTGGTTGGGTGTTGTCCTCTACACCGAGGGTTGCTGGTTTGGTTCCCGGGTTGAAGCACATACTCAGGTTGAAGTCTCGGTCCCTGGTGGGGGACATGTGGGAGGCAGCCGATGAGGGTTTGGCTTTCCCATGGATGTTTTTCTCTCTTTCTCCCTTCCTCTCACTCTAAAAATCAATAAACTAAAAAAAAAAAAGAAAAGAAAAAAAGATTTACAGAGTCCTCTGTAACTTGCCCTCACTTTCATAGCTAAAAAGACATGTATTCCAAATTTAAGGAAGGGAATTCAGACCAATTAAATTTGTTAATTCAAAGAATACTTTTAGAACAAAATTTCAGAAGTGTTCCCTTGGACATAGCTAAAATTAACATATAGAGTTATTTTCCTTAGCAGCCATTCTTGCTTTCTAAATATCTTCATACTTTAAAAATGCTTTTTAAAACGAAATAATGATATATTTTTATTTTCATTCAGTTTTTGCGACCAGCTCTTCTTAAAATAAATGACATGTGTTACCAATTGAGTTTTATGGGGCTTTGTTATATTGAAAGAGGTCGCACCTACACCCTGCAAGAATTTCAGTCTACACAAGTCGCACAACTGAGAGAGGTAAAGACTTTTGTCTATAAGTTTCCAGACCTTTTTTCTATTATTGCTACTTTGGTACCACTAATTATACATATCATTAATGTTTAGGTGACGGATCACCTGGAATATTTTCGAAACGAGGCCAAAGAAGTAGTCAGGAAGGCTTGTCGCACTGCTCTGCGCGCTATAGGATTCACTCCTGATGACTGTGATGAGGAAGGTAGGGAGGGGAGAGAGCTTTAACAGATCAGAAGTGGTGGCTTTCTGAAATAGTAACTCTTGCCCATCCTGTGTTGCTCAGTGTTTGGACATCAACCCATGAACCGGGAGGTCACAGTTCAATTCCCAGTCAGGGCACATGCCCGGGTTGCGGGCTCCATTCCCAGTAGAGGGTGTGCAGGAGGCAGCCAATCAATGATTCTCTATCAATATTGATGTTTCTCTCTCTCCCTCTCTCAAAAATCATTAAAAACATATTTTTAAAATAGTAACTCTTGCCCTAGCCAGTTTGGCTAAGTGGATAGAGCATTGGCCTGTGGATCAAAGGGTCCCGAGTTCGATTCCGGTCAAGGGCATTATCCTCAGATGCCGGCTTCTCCCGGGCCTGGGCCCTGGTCGGGGCACGTGCAGGAGGCAACCAATTGATGTGTTTCTCTCATATCGGTATTTCTCTCTCTTTCCTTCTCTCTTCCACTCTCTCTAAAAATCAATGGAAAAATATCCTCAGGTGAGGATTTAAAAATAAATAAATAATAAATAAATAAATAATAAAAGAGTAACTCTTTTTTACTACTTTTCTTAAGTTTAAATAATGATTTATTTTCAGTTCCTCCAAATTTACAAGATAGATTATGAATTCAAAATATACTGTGGAGAGGAGCGGGGGGAGGGAGGGGACCAGTAAATAGTGCATTTTCCTTGCATGACCCCTGCTTGTATATATATATATATATAGTATTTCTAAACTGGTTACAGAGCCTTTATTTCACAAGCATTTTATGGTGGACTCTGTGCTTAAAGATATGTCTAGCTTCTAGTACAGACAATAGATTTGTTAAAATACAGGGATTGGCTGGATCTCAGGGTTGCCCTCTAGAGGATAATTAAAATGCAGTTGGGGAAAAAGGGTGAAAGTATCACTGGAAAAGAGATAACATAGTACACAGGTCAAATCTTGTTAAAGAGAATGTGAATAAACTGTCTACAGTCTTTTCTTGAGTTGAAATCCTTTAATGTGAAATTCTTTTGGATAACTGGACTGTTTTCTGGAGTTTGAATGATCTCACGAACCAAAGCATTTTGTGTGTGTGTGTGTGTTTTTTTCAATTTTGCTTGTCTTTTAATCGGCATTGAGAGGGGGAAAAATAGAACTTTTACATAAGAATTCTTGTTGTTGTGTCTTCTGCTGTTCTTAGATGATAAGAAATCATCAGTGACTGCTGGTCTCATTGAGTTGCCTACTTATGTAAACTCTGAGAACATGAAATACACGCAGCAGGCCAGGAAAAGGCGTTATTGCAGGAGGCTGACTTGGTAAGTGATATTCTTTCATTTAAGAAAAATTAGGGCATCTGTCATTCTCAATTTTATTCAAAGTTAAAGCCTTTATCCCAGGATTCACTAACAGTGATGAGATAACCTAAAGGCAGTCCCAGAAGCCTGCCCCTCCACCTGCCCCCTAGCAAAGCAGCCGCTGGGAGTGGCAAGCTGGTAGAGAGTGGGGGGCATGTCCAAGGTCGAGGGCTCCTCTTTGATCTCTAAGGCTTTGTTTCCCCCTAACCCAACCTGGGATATGGTGCTGGCTATGGTAAGAAGCCAGGCACACAAGAGATTTGAACATAGCTATATGGCCACATAAAGTTCCACACTTTCCTAAAAAAAGGTTTTGCAACTGGGAGACAAGCCATCCAGGGCACTCGCCCTTATTAGATTTTAGCTCTGCCATTGCTTACCAACTGGATCTTAACATTGTTCCAAAGTTTAGATTTCACGCCTTTCTAAAACTTCATTACTACAAATAACTCTTGCAAACAGTCACCAAGCATTATCTGATACTATAGGCTGATTATTGTTACTCAGTGCTCACTAATTTAGTCCAACTTTTACAACCACCCTATATAATAAAAGCCTAATATGCTAAGTGTCCAGTCATCCAGTCGGCCGTTCAACCAATCAAAGTGTAATATGCTAATGATATGCCAAGGCCGCTCAACTGCTTGCTATGATGTGCACTGACCACCAGGGGGCAGACAGTCGACTGGTTGACCAGTCGCTATGATGTGCACTGACCACTAGAGGGCAGATGCTCCAACTAGTAGGTTAGCTTGCTGTTGGGGTCCGGCCCATCGGGACTAAACGAGACAAGCTGGACATGCCCTAGAGCCCTCCCACGGCCCCTCCCCGGCCCTGATTGTGTACCAGTGGGGTCCTTTGGCCTGGCTTGTGCCCTTTCGCAATCTGGGACCCCTTGGGGGATGTCAGAGAGCCAGTTTCAGCCCAACAGCTGAACGACCAGTCACTAGGATGCTCACTGACCAACCGGAGGCAGACACTCAATGTAAGGGTTGCCCCCTGGTGCTCAGTGCGCTCCCACAGGGGGAGTGCTGCTCAGCCAGAAGCCTTCAGCACTAAGGATGTCCAACTGATGGACATCCTCCAAGAGCTCCCAAACTGTGAGAGGGTGCAGGCTGGACTGAGGGACACCTTCCCCCCACCTGTGAGTGCATGAATTTCATGCACCAGGTCTCTAGTCTACTTAATAAATATTAATGGTGCATCAGTTATATGTGAGATAATATGATAATGTTGTCTGTGTCACTGAAGTCAGTGGAGCAGTCCCTGAGGCCATCATCACAGGCCTCCAGGTACTAGAGGCCCCTTGGGCTCCAATTAAGCAGAATAAAAAGTTACTCTAAATGCCTTGCTGACTCAGCCTATATTCTAAGCACTCAAGTAAGGAAACAAAATTTGCATCTTTGTGTTAGCAATTGCCATTAAGCAACATTTATCCAGTAGTGAAGATTTCATACTTTACCTTTAGAATGTAAGTTACAGATGTTGTATATTTACTGATTTCTTCTCTAAGGCATTAAAAAAAACACTTTATGGCCCTTTTGGCTAGATGAGCTAGGTGCTTTTCCAATAATAACTGTATTGCTCATTAATATTCTATTGAATGGTTAGAACACCTAGCTAAATTGATGCAATACTTTTGAATATGATTGTGTTTTAAAATGAAGAATGTCCAAGAAAAACTCTTCTGAACAGGAAATCTCTGATATTGTAATAAAAAAAATGGGCACAGAGAAATTATATTTTAAAATTTAAATACTTTAGAGTCACTTTCAAAGATATGTAGTGAATATAGAAAACTGAAGCTGTATTTTTTTTTCTTTTCAAGCTTTATTCGTCTAAATGATTACCTAATTGAGAACACAATGCACGTCTTAACAGTAAATTCTGTTAACAGTCTTTTGAATTATCTCACTGACAAACTAAAACGAACACCCTCAGCAGACATCATTCAGAAATGGATTACTGAGGAGAAACCTGAAGTCACTGATAAGAAGGTATATCCAGACAAAATTGAGAAAATCCATCGGCCCGCGTTTATGGAGTGCTTACTATGTATGATGGATTATGCTATTTTCTGTGTCTTGAAAAAATGGGAGAAATGCTGTGAGGATTGCTTAGTATAACCAGAGCCTACTATACACATATGAAGTGGCAGGATGAAAATCAGCATATCAACAAATATCTTAACAGAGAAAGCACTCACTGTGCTGAGTGTTGCTCTTTCTCTGACAGGAATTTGCTAAAAGTTATTCATGTGTTCGTTCAGCAGAGATTCCTTAAATACCTGCTGTGTCCCAATCCCTGCTCTGGATGTTGTGTATATGGTGATGAAAAGCATAGACAGGATTCTTGCTCCCAAGAAACTTATAGTTTGGGGGCCATCATGGGCAGAGAGGTGGTATAAATGGAAGAAATGACAAGAAGCACATCATGAAGCAAACCTTTGTGCTTTGAGTGGCTACCTTCTTGGGAGGAAGTTGATCTTAGAGCCAGAGTGATCAAGATGTTTGAGATGAAATAGTACAGATGCTTTTGCTGTATTCTAGCATAGCTGAGAGAGAAATCATATTATCTCCTACCACATTTCCCAACTCCATCCTGCATAACAGCTTCATGCCAGATACCTAGTAATGTTGCAAAACATGCTTACCTAGTTTTATCCAGCTTCCTACTTCCAAGTCTCAACTTTCTCTCCAGGAAACTCAACTGTGCAGTTTCAAGGACTGATATTCTTTGCTGTAGTTTCCCTTTTTCTCCAAAAGTTGTGAGTTCTTTGCATACTCCCTTTTCATTACTTCCTATTCTCAATTCCTCTTTTTTTTCTAAATACTGTTACATCTTAAAAGTACTATTCATTTTTTTTGTAATTGTAAAAGTAATTTATGCTGTGCAGAAAATTTGAAAAACACAAAAATGTACAAAGAAGAGCATCCTTTGCTATCCAAAGATAATTATTTCCAAAGGGGAAAATAAGGTATCATACTTTACTCACTGCTTAATCACCTGTTTTTTTTCCACTTAGCAATGTTTTGTGAAAAATCTCCCAAGTTGATATATATTTTTCATATAATATTCTCATGTAGAAATATACTATGTACGAGTATCTTGTAAATATTAGTAAAAAATCTTCTAGTATTGATCACTGTCTCACTACAAATAATGTTGCAAAGAACATCCTTGTCTATACGTATTTCAGACACCTGATTTTTCCCCTTAGAAGAAAGTCCTAGCTGTGGAATTTTTGGGTCAGGAATATGCTCACTTGTTAAGGCTTTGATTCTAATGAATAACTCTCCAGAAAATTTTGTGTCAATTTACAAACTTCCTAGCAATATTTGAGAATGAGCATTACCCATGTGCACACTAGATAGTATCATTCATTTTCATCTTTGTTAATCTGATGGATGTAAAGTAGTATATCACTGCTTTTAAATGTTATATTCCTTTAATTGCTACCCCAGTGCAGGGATAAGAGCATAGGAATGATGATCAGAAAGACCTGGGTCTGCTACTTACTAAGCAATGCGTCTTTCTCCAGATTCTGTTTTCTCAGGGGAGTAACAATGATACCTGCTACATATGATTGGTATGGGATTTACATGAATACTTAGCATTTCCTGACACACGGTAAATGCTCAATTAATGTTATTACTGAATAAATTATCTTCAGGAAGAGAAGTTGGAGGTTGATTGATCATTTGTACTAGTACATTACTATTTATGTATTAACTATATAATACTAGAGGCCCAAAGGACGAAATTTGTGCGAGGGGCTTGGCCCTTGCAGCCTCGGCCGGCCCTTGCAGCCCCTCACAGCCTCAGAAGGTCATCCAGACGGTCATTCTATTGTTCGGTCAAATTAGCATATTAGCTCTTTATTATATAGGATTAGTATATATTTCTACTGAGTATATCAAGTAGATTTCTATTTAAATATTACTAACCTTCTATCTGCTATACGCATTTTTCAGTTCCTTGTTTACCTTTCCATCTTGTTGATAGTATTTTTTCAAGGAGTTTTACAATGCTGTCTAGTTTTTCAATATCAGCCTTTATTTTTTAATTTCTGTGGTAATATTCTTTGAAAGACATGCCAACATTGTAAAATCAGCTAATTGTATAAGCTTAAGTTTGCGTGCCTCTTGTAATAGACAAGTTGTCTGCCTTACACCTTGGTACTTGTATCTCTATAACACTGCGCATGTGTTCGTTTCAGGTGGCTCCTGGGTTGGAAAAGCTGGAAGAAGATGAGTCACTCATCCCCATGTTCCTCACAGAACTGATCTTGACAGTGGAGTCACTACTGTTTAAACCTTCTCTGGAAGACTTTCTGGTGTGTGTTTATATAGATCACATCATCTAAAAGTTTAACACTTTTTCCTTAACTTGAGACAGATTAGAAGTTCGGTAGGGACACCATCAAGAGAAACTACAAGTTCTAAACAAAATTTAGAATTCATTATAGGCATCACTCAAGAGGAGTTAAAGAAATCACTCTGTTGCAAGTACCATTTTTGAAATCGTTTAAAGCATGCTGCATGAGAACAGTTTGCTATTTCAGTTCTCAATGGCTGTGAAATAAGTTACCACCAGTTTGGCAGCGTTTTTAAAAAGCAAGCATTTGTTATCGCACAGTTCCTGTGTTCATGGGTCTGGGCACTGCTTCGCTTCTACTCTGTCTCCGGACCTCCCCGGGCTGCCATTGGCTGGGATGAGGCCTCCTCAGAGGTTAGACCGGAAGCAGATCCACTTCCAAGCTCCCTCAGGTGGTTAGAAAAATTCATCTCCATGCAGCTGTGGGACTGAGGTCCCTTTTTCCTTGAGGGACGTCAGCTGGGAACCATGTTAGGTCCTAGAAACTTCGAGTAGTTTCCTGCCCCGTGGCAAACTCTGTAAGCAGTTTTACAATACAGGTCTTTGCTTCATCCAGACTGGCTGAGAAATCTCCTTCAGGAAGGGCCCAATCACCCTTTTAAGGGTTTTCATTTGATTGAGTCAGATCTATGCAGCATGGTCACCTTCTGATTAAATCAAAGGCAACAGAATTCGGATCTTAATTACATCTGCAAAATCCCTTCAAATTTCCATACAATGGAGTGGCAGCCCATCACGTGCACAGGTCCCTCCCACACCCACGAGAGGAGCATTCAGGGCATGTACACCAGAAGGAGGGAACCTTGGGAGCCACCTTGGACCTCTGCCTTCCACCATTTGTACATGTGGAGATTAGTAAACCAGTAAGAGTCTATATTTTCTGTCCTTAGCCGGTATACTGGGGCACAGAAACACTAGTAATCAGGCTCTCCAGAGATTCTGATCTTCACTTTGCAATTAGTAAGCTCTTTGCCCTTGGGAAACCACGTGCCTCTTCAGGGTTCAGTTTATGCATCTGTAAGATGAGAAGGCAGATGAGTTTTCAGGTTGCTTCCAACACCAGCAGACTGTGATTCTGTCATTTATCGGATGGGCCATTGCAGGATATTTACAGGGACAAGCAGACTGCTGCGGGCCCTGTGGTTGGGCCTTGCTCAAGAGTTCCCACACAGAGAGGCACTGGGCTCTCATGTCTCTCTGTCCAGAAGATTCGTGACCTTCACATGGAAGGCAAATGCCCTTGGGCAGCAGATGGCACAAGGAAGGCCTCTCCAACAGCAGCTGGCTGATCTCCCTTAGCCTCAAGTGACAGGCCTTGGAAAACCTTGACATTCTCTTTATTTCTTTTTTCTTTTTATTTTATTTGTATTTATTTTTTCAATCTTTATTGTTGAGATTATTACAGAGGTCCCTCTCCCCCCTCCCCCATAGCTCTCCTCCACCCAGTTCCCACCCCACCCCAGGCCCTCGCCACCCTATTGTCTGTGTCCATAGGTACTGCATGCAGGCATATAAGATCTTTGTCTAATCTCTTCCCACACCTCTCCACACCCTTTCCCTCTGATAATTGTCAGTCTCTTCCATTTCCATGCCCCTGATTCTATTCCATTCACCAGTTTATTCTGTTCATCATATTTTTTATTCATTTGATTTTTAGATTCACTTGTTGATAGATATGTATTTGTTTTTACTTTGTTGTTCATAATTTTTTTTATCTTTACCTTTTTCTTCTTCTTCCTCTTCTTAAAGAATACCCTTCAGCATTTCATATAATACTGGTTTGGTGGTGATGAACTCTTTTAGCTTTTTCTTGTCTGTGAAGCTCTTTATCTGACCTTCAATTCCAAATGATAGCTTTGCTGGGTAGAGTAATCTTGGTTGTAGGTTCTTGCTATTCATCACTTTGAATATTTCTTGCCACCCCTTCTGGCCTACATAGTTTCTATTGAGAAATCAGCAGATGTATGGGCACTTCCATATAGGTAACTAACTGTTTTTCTCTTGCTGCTTTTAAGATTCTCTCTTTGTCTTTTGCCTTTGGCATTTTAATTATGATGTGTCTTGGTGTGGTCATCTTTGGATTTCTCTTGTTTGGGCTTCTCTGTGCTTCCTGGACTTGTAAGTCTATTTCTTTCACCAGGTAAGGGAAGGGGTGTTTTTTGCTTCCTTGTATTTCAAATGATTGACAACTGATTCTAAGAATCCTCTAGTCTACTGTTGAATCCCTGTATATTATTCTTAATTTCAGTCAGTGTATGCTTAATTTCTGACTTGTCCTTTTCCTTTTTTTTTTTTTTTTTTGCCATTCTCACTAAGATCCTTGAAGGTATCACTAAGTTCCTTGGAGGTTTCTAGAAGATTCTTGAGTAACCTTATAACTGTGGTTTTGAATTCTATACCCAATAGTTTGCTTTCTTCCATTTTTTTCATTTGTGACATGTTTCTTTGTCTCTGCATTTTGGCTGCTTCCCTGAGTTTGTTTCTATGTATTGGATAGCTGCTAAGTCTCCTTGAGTTGATAGAGTGGCCTTGTGTATTAAGTGTCCTATAAGTCCAGTGGCTCAGCCTCCCCAATCACCTGAAGTGGACACTCTTGGTGCACCTCTTTGTGGGCTGTGTGCACAGTTTTGTTGTAGTTGAGCCTTGATTGCTGTTGGTATCACTGGGAAAAATTGACCTCCAGGCCAATTGGCTGTGGGGACCAGCTGCTACTACAGTGGTAGAGCTGCTATGCAGAAGACACCCTTATGAGGCAGGACTTGCTTCAGTGGGGCTTTGGTGCTCACTGAGTCTGCCCCTTGAGTGTGTCATATATGGATGTGAAGAGTTGTAATCTGATATGGTCTCAAACTGACCACTGGGTACACTGGCTCTTGGGTCTCCTGGAGGTGTAAAGTCAGCCACTGCCTGGGGCCATGCAGCAGAAGCTATAGAGAAATCTGCAGATTCCTCCTCTTTGTATCGGTTTAGAAGTGCCCAGATGAGGCCCAGCTGTGAAGCAAAGCAGGCTGGTACTGGTGCCAGCCTTGAGCCTTCTATTGATTGCTGTAGGGCTCCTTGACCCAGCTGCAGCTTGTTTGACAGATTTTAGGCTTCGAAAGGACAGGCCATTCATATGCAAAAGCTGCTGTGTAGAGCTTGGGTGGGTTGTAAATTCGGTGGTGCGGGGTCTCAGGGAATCACTAGGGCAGAGCAAACAGAAATGGTTGCCAGTCAGCCCTACACCAGGGAGGTCCCAGCACAGGACAATGATCTCTTAGAGCACTTCTTTCTGGAAGAAAGCTGACCCTGAGTTCCTGCCCAAGTGCCAGACAGTCCAGTTTTTCCCTATATGTGTCTGGGTCCCCCAGAGCCTCTCCCGGCACTGGAGGTCAGAGCAAGCGGGAGCTTGTAAGTTCAGTTCTCGGTGCTGGCCTTTTAAGAGGAGCAGCTGGGTCACTCAGCCCCAATCTGGTGCTGGACCAGCCCGTTCTGCACCTCTGCACCTCCTACCAGTCTCAATGCACTTTCTTCTTTACCTCTCTAGTTGCAGTACTTCCACTCAGCCAGCTTTCCCACAGTTCTGGATGATAGTTGTTGTGTATTTTAGTTGTAATTTTGATGTGGTTGTGGGAGGCAGCAAGTATAGGCCTTTACCTATGACACCATCTTGGTTCTTTCCTTTTTTATTTTTATTTTTTTGGAAATACACTCTTTATTTCTCTTTGGCCCACATGGGTATTTTTAATTCCTATACCTAAAGTTGTAGGCCATGCTATAGACATAATCCCATGTTCACACCACACATGAGATTTTACTTTGTGTAACCCCAAACTAGCCAATAGCCATATAAACCGGACTATCACTCATGAATTTTTTAAATTATTTTACTATCACTTTGGTCATTAGTCTTAATGTGCATCCCCACCTAGTTTCCCAAACACAGGCAGAGCTTAGTGTAAAGGAAAATTATATACCTAAGTCTTCACATCTAACATTGTTCTTGCTTGAGTTATCTATGGCTTTCTATATTCTGATATTTTTCAATTATTTTTCTTCCTGTTGTGTTTGACTATATAGTGCTTCCAACTCTGTCTGGAAATAGACTTCACACTTTTCTATAATTTCTCTTGTTTTTCTTTCTTTCAGTCCTCTTTCTTAGAGCCTTTTTTTTGGTCTGACCTTTGATTGTTTCTGTCCTGAAAGGCTTCCTCTTCTTCACATGCTATGTATTCTCTGTGTGGAAGCCTATTGTTCTAACTACCACTTCTAGATTGGAGATTTATAAATATATATATTTCCAGCCAGTACTTTTCTTCCAGACTGAGATCTGGAAATCTCCACAATTAACTCCAACTCACCAAAATAAATTGAACTTCTTACAACTTCTTCCAAAACTTGCTCCTTCTTACATACCTCCATCTTAATGAAAGGCATTACCCAGATGCTCAAGTCAGCAATGGGAAATCTTCCTAGTTTCCCTCTTACCTCTTTGAGATCAACTTACTGAATCCTGTGTGTTCATCATTACTTGAAGTCCCTCTCAGTGGGAACTTCATCATCTCTCACCTGGCCTGCGTTTATAGTCTGTTCTGATCTACCTGCCTCTCTTCCTTCTAATGCATTTTCTACATTGCTGACAGTAAGATTATTTTATAGGCACATTTGATCATGTCACTTAAAATTAAAATTTCTCCATGCCTATGATAGCATTTTTCAAAGGATGCTCTGTAAGGTGTTGATAGGCATCCTAGGAGAAAGGCGGTTGTGATATGCATCAGAATATTTAAAATCCTATTCCCCAGATCCAGAGGAGAATCCTATTTAACCCAAGATTTCTTCCCAAATATACTTGGCATCGGGACCTTTTTATCCATAGGGTTGTCCCTGGTCACAACCTGGGGAGTACTGGCCTAGAGGGGACCAACTGCATCATGTCCTGTTTCTCCAGTTAAATGACTTAAGGCACTCAACCCTACCAGCCCCTTCAGGCCTCTCACACACAATGACTTACAAGGATTGTCCTCCTGTCTTGTATACTTCACAAGCCCCTGATTATTTATTTATTTTGTTGATTAAATTTATTGGGGTGACATTGGTACCTGCTTATTTTTTAAGACTTATTTCAAGAAGTACCTTTTCTTTACCTCATTTTCTCTAGTTAGATTTTGCATTTATTATAAATGTCATATATCTATATATCTATATCTCTCTATATAAACATATATAGAGAGATATAGATATAGATATAGATATAGATATAGATATATAGGCTAAGCGACTGGCTGACCAGCCAGCTGGCTGGTAGCTATGACACACACTGACCACCAGGGGGAAGATGCTCAATGCAGGAGCTGCTGAGTGATAGCAACTTTGTAGAGTGCCCTCTCACACTACGGGACACCTCAGGGGATGTCAGACTACCAGTTTCGGCCTGATCCCCATAGGCCAGGCCGAAGGACCCCATCTGCCAGAAGGACCCCGCTCACTCGAAGACGCTAGGGAGGGACCAAGGGAGCTTGGCTCCAGGGTGTGTCCAGCCTATCTCACCCAGTCCCACCCCACCAGCCACCTTCTAATTAATTTCCTTTCAATATGCACAAATCTGTGCAGCAGGCCTCTAGTATATTAATAAATGCTCATTGAAGTGAATTTGACAAACACAAAAATATTATTAAAATCATCTATAATTCCATGTCAGAAATAGGAATAACCCTTTAACATTTTTATATTTTCCCCACTTTTGTTTCACTGATATACCAGCACACCTAACTTACCATGAGATTTTATAAATACGTTTTTAAATGGAATATTACATATCCATTTTATCTTGCTCTCTCTCTTTTTTAAACTTAACATATATCATAAGTTTTTTCCCCATATCATTGATTAATCTTTGGAGACACCATGTTGAAGGGGTTTCTAATTTTCATTTGTATAAATTTATTACAGTCTAACTATACTCCTGTTTTTAAACACTTAGGTATTTCTTTAATAAGTTTTTATTGTAAGTAATACTGCAGTGAGTATCCTTGCACATGAATCTTTATTTACATTCTATTTTTTCTCTTAGGATAGATTTTTATAATGGAAATTACTACTCAAAAGAATATAAACTTTTAACCCACCTTTTAAACTTTCTCTGATTCTCTTTGGCATACTCTGACCTGCCTTCCCTATGACTTTTCTTTGTTTTGTTCATATTTCAAATATAGAATTCATCATATGTGTTATAATTTTTATCTGCTTCTCTCTCAGTTAGAAAATATATTTCCTGAAGGCAGTGGCTGTGTCTTCTGATTTCTCATATACTTAGAATCAACATAGTATCTGCCATGGTTTAATTAGCTATTCTTACTTATTTTAGCATTTCAGAAAATTCAAAATAATTCATAAATATAATCATGTATGTGTTTGCATTTATGTTTCTTCTTTTCTCTCTAACAGTCTGGTATTTCAGATGCAATTAATCAGTTTCAGAGCACCGTGTTATCAGTTCCTAATCTCGTGCCTGACACATATTTTGATGCTTTCACCAGACCTTATATTAACAACAAACTTGAAGAAAAAACTTGTGGACTTGGCCCCAGCTTGTCATCAGTATTTGATGATGATAAGAATTTTCACACAATTATCTTTCAAATAAAGGTATATTTACTTTTACTGAAACTAATATTTAAGAAATTGAGCAATATATTTTCTTCCTTTCTTATCTTTGAATTGAATGCTATTTAATCTCTAAATGGTAAACTGTTTTGTTTATAAAGTCTTAGTTGGCCCTAGCCAGTTTGCTCAGTGGATAGAATGTCAGCCTGTGGATCAAAGGGTCCTGGGTTCAATTCTGGTCAAGGGCACAGCTGTACTTTGGTTGCAGGCTCCTCCCTGGCCCAGGCCCTGGTCCGGGCTCTTGCAGAAGGCAACCAATCAATGTGTCTCTCTCACATGGATGTTTCTTTCACATGTCTTTCCCTCTCCCTACCACTCTCCCTAAAAATCAATGGAAAAATATCTTCAGGTGAGAATTAACAAAATAAGTAAGTAAATAAATAAATAGTCCTGGTTGATCAGAACACTGACAACAGGAAAAGGAATTAAAAGTGCAAGATATTTGAGACAACATTACTTCTGGGGTAGAAAATGAGATTAAAAAAGAACAAGAAAGGAACGAAAGGAAACATTTTTATCATTAAAAAAGAACAAGAAAGGAACGAAAGGAAATTACCATACAGGAGATGCAATCCTATATAATAAAGAGCTAATATGCTAATTAGACCAAACAACCTTCTGGACAACCTTCCAGATGAAGTCGGAGCCCTGAGGGCTAAACCCCTTGCATGCATTTTGTGCATCGGGCCTCTAGTAAAACACAAATGGAACGTAAGTAGAGACACATGAGCCATCATAGAAATAGGCAGGCATCTCCAATACATACTAAAATGTGTAGGGGAAAATATGATGAGAAAGAGGATATTCTCTCAAAGTACCTCTGCATAAGATATTTATTGACTTTAAGAGGGAAAATAGTAAGGTTGCAGTGATAAAGACTGACAGGCACCACCTTAACGAACACGTTAACATCACCAGTAGTGCAACAAATTGACATCATGTCTCTTTTGACATGATGATGATGCACTGAGAACTCCTGTTGCTTCTGTGGTATTACTGCCAAAATGTGCAACTGAATCTTAGCACTAGGCAGTATAAGCACACATACAAATGAGATATATTTTTTCAAAAATGAAAGACAGACAAAGATTGAGGAATTGTTCCAGATTAAAGGAAACCAAAAGATATAACAAGATGATAAAAATGATCCTGGATAGGATAGTGAACCAGAAAAAAAAAAATGTGTTTTCTATGGAAGACATTTTTGGAAAAAATAGCAAAATTTGGATAAGGTCTATAATTAGATAATAGAATTCATGTTAATGTTAATTTCCTAATTTAGATTATTGTACTATGCTCATGTAAAAAGACATCCTTGTGTTTTGTAAATACAACTGAAATATTTAAGGGTAAAGTCTCTCATGTCATCACCTTTCTCCCAAATGGTTCATAGTAAAATGATATACATAGAGAGAGAATGATAAAGCAAATATAATAAGGAATTTTAGTGAATTTTGGTGACAGATATATGGAATTCTTTGTACTATTCCAGCAATGTGAATGTGAAATTATTTCAGAATACAGAGTTTCAAATCATATTTTGAACATGTTGCTATGACCTGTTTGATCACAAATCAGAGATACTATTAAGTAAGCTCAAAGGAGACACAAGTTTGACAGTTTCTTCCTCTCAATTAAAAAAAAAACATATTTTTATTTATTTATTTTTATTGATTTCAAAGAGAAGGGAAGAGTGGGAGAAAGAGATAGATAGAAACATCAATGATGAGAGGGAATCATTGATCAGCTGCCTTCTGCATGCCCCACACTGGGGATTGAGCCTGCAACCCAGGCATGTACCCTGACCAGGAATTGAACCGTGACCTTCTGGTTTATAGGTCGATGCTCAACCACTTAGCCACACTGGTCAGGCCTTCCTATCAATTTTAATGTAAAAGAAATAAACAGTTGAAAGAGT